ATTTTTACTTACTAGCATATTTAGGGCACTGGATCAGATGCTGTTGAAGAGGTTTTCATCTCTAAAATTCTATGACTTTATTAAACATTTCTTGCATGCAAATCATTTGCCAGGTGTTATGTATAAATAAAACACATAATGCACAGCGCAAGTCCTCAAGGAATTCACTGACGTGTAATAAGGCTTTAAATTACATAAGGTACACAATCCTCAATGAAATGGTTTATTAAGTATTTTAAAGATCTCAGAGTACTCGAGATCTGAGTACTCGATTCTGAGTTGCTCGATTTATGCCCTCTTAATATGTTGTTTTAATTCTGGGAGTGTTAAGATTTTGAAGGCAAAACAGCAGCACTAGGGACTCTGGCTTTTGGAGTCAGCTAGACCTAGATTTGATGCCTATTTTTTTTCTGCTATTAACTATGGACAAGAGACAGCATCTCTCTCACATTCACTTTCTCTCATCTGCAAAATGAGAATCTGAATGCCTATTTCTTGAGCTTTCCCTGCAACAAGCTGAGAACATTTGTGATACGTGTAGCACAGACACACATAGACAGCAAGCACTGACTGGGAGGACAGCAGCCCACACCTCCGTGTCCCCTGCATTCTGCAAAGTATATGGTTAAGTGCTAAAAGCAAAGAAAAAGCTCAGCATGACAAGATGGTTGTGAAATCAAAGGTACACCCATCTTTTTTCTGTCCCTAATTCTATTCCCCAGAGGTAAGTGGGGAAGATGTGTTGACGTTTTAGATGGGATAATCCCAGTAAATTCTGCAAGGAATTAATAAATAAAATCAATTAAAACCATACAAGGGACTTTAACCTAACAAATGCAATCAGGGAAACCTGGTTTCCTGTACCCTCAATGAATCCCCAACAATGAATTAAAAAAAAATTAATTAAAACCAGTATTGACTTCCATTCACCGTATCTTTTAAGGGACTACTCAACCTCTTTGGGCATGTTGCCCTGTCCTACCCCTGTTCTTGTGTGAGCCTGTGCGCCTCCCCTCATAATCGTTCCAAAGAAAGAATCAACTGGAACTCTTCTTTCCCTGGGCTACCCAGTGCGATTCAGCTCTCTGGGAGGGTACCCTGAACACCAGGCCTTTTACACCCCCGCTTACTCCTGCCATGATTATCTTCCTGCAGATCTTATTTTCCCTACAAGACTGCAGTGCCTTGCAGCAGGATCTTGGTTTGGTTCAACTTTGCCATTATGGATAATACCCCACGCTGCCCCCTTCAGCTAACAGTTACTCAATAAATGCCTGCTTAATAAATATGATTCAAGATGTCGTAAAATATCTGAAAACACTGGGAAACAACTTGACATTTTGATTTCAAAGATGTAAAACTGCAAGTCATCTTTCTTTTTTTTTAAAGCAGTCTTTTCTTTTTTTTTTTAAACATCATTCTTTATTTTTATTTATTTATTTTGCAGTTTTTGGCCAGGGCTGGGTTTGAACCTGCCACCTCCAGCATATGGGACCGGCGCCCTACTCCTTTGAGCCACAGGAGCTGCCCCTGCAAGTCATCTTTCTAAAATCAAGGTGTAACCAATTCTGGAGAAACACACTATTCATCTTGAGGCACAAATGTGTTTTCAGGAGCCCTTTGAGGAGACAGCTTGCACAGGAGACATTGTTAGCCAGGAGAGAGGTGGCAAGGGATTCTGCTGTGATGTGTGAGGGGCATCTGAGCTAGCTGCCCCTCCACCACACCCCATCCTCATAACCTCACAAGAATGGAGATGAAGTAGGAAACACTGCCCATGCTTTCTCTTTTCCAATAAACGTGAATTGAAATTTTGAAAAGCATGAGCCTAACATAAAAACTTCTTCATAAAGCAAGCTTAGCATCACAGACAGGGGCAAGGCAATGGAGCACCGTGACTGTGTGCACAGTAAATCAGGCCCAGGAGGGGCATCCCGGCAGGGCAACGAGGGTAAGATGCACACTTGACCCCCTGCACACATCACTGCGCCACGCCCCCACCTCAGGCCTCTGCAGCCTGTACCAAGCGTGTCATGGATGTAACAGGCCATTTTCAATCTAAATCTTGTTAGAGATTAATAAGCAAACATTTTCTTGCTTATTATGCAATTTATCATGATGAAAATTGCATTGGGCTCCTCAAGGCTACATGCTGATCCATTCATTTATTCAGAGCTGTGTACAGAGAGTCATACTAATCTTCATGACAGAAAAGGATGTAAGAGCAAGATTTAAATGGCTTACTGAAGACTAGCTGTGTCTGAGGACATACACCACGTAGATAAAACACAAATGTACCTTTAGTTTACGGCTATCAGCTTAATGTAAATTTATTTTGAAACAAAATATTAAATACTAAACTTAAAATAGAAACCTATGACTTTTTCTTCTAGGCAACAAAACAGAGTGCATACTGAGCAAATCGTGTTTAGGTCAAATGTGAAAATAAGTCTCAAAGCAGGTTAAAGCAGGATTTTAGACAATCCAAAAAATGCTAAAGGCTTCTCAAGATAAACCCGGAGGGCCACAGGAACAGAAGGCAGCGCTGTTGACTCTTTGGAGGGCGTACATGCCAGCTCAGCCGACGTGACGCCCAAGGGCCAGCTGGCTTGTAGACTGGTGCAAACTCACGAGTTCACATTCCCTTCTCATCCTTCACTTCAATTAGGAAACTTCAGGACTCCTGTATCCAGAAACTAGACTGGATACCAATACACCAAACTTCTCATTCTAGAAAACGAGCAGCCCTCAATCTGCTGAACATAGGGACCTTAACGATGGCATCGTAGGTAACACCATTACCTAACACCATTACGACAGCAACGTAGGTAACGGCCACTTAATCTTGTAATACATGCTAACCATTCTTCTAAGGTAAGCACTTTTCAAATATAAACTCATTTAACATTAAACTTATGAGACAGGCACTTAATTAGCTCCCAGTTGTAGATGCAGAAAGGTGAAGTAATTTGCTGGAGGGCAGACAGCTAGAGAGACAGAGGTGAAGTTTAGGACCACGGTGGCATGATATGAGGCAATGGGGGAGGAGGCAGCTGCCTTCGCTTGAAATGAATACCTGCCTTCCACCAATCAATCTTGGGACCTGTGCTGGGGATGCCCAATCTGTAGAGAAAGCCATACCATTCCATTCTAGCCTTCTCCGGTCTCTAGTCCTGAACTTGCAGCAATCAGCAGGAAGACTATGGGGGCCCACAGAACGCTGGACTACGGGAACTCTGAGGGATGGAAAAAGCAACCATGGAGAAAAGGGCAAAGAACTCGAGTTTTTTAAAAGGTTAACAATGACAAGAATGAAATGCCCTTCATTGCGAAAAATCAAAGTGGTGGTAACATTTTCATTTAAGGGGGGCATTTTATACCCACTAGGATGGCTCTATCAAAACAAAGAAAGAGGAAGAAAAAAGATAAAACAAGTGCTGGCGAGGATACAAGAAAATGGAACTCTTGTCCACAGCTGGTGGGAATATCAACGGGATAGCCGCTGTGGACCGTTTAGGGCTCTTCAGTAAGGTAAACACAGAATCGTGTGTGACCCAGTAATTCTACTCTGAGATACCTCTACCCAAAGAAACGTAAATGTTCAAACAAATACTTATATACGAATCTTCACAGCAGCTTTGTTCACAGTAGCCCAAAGGCTGAAACGACTCAGATATTCACCGCCAGATCAATGGATTGATAACGTGTGACATCACGGTGGAGTGGAGCGTTACTCAGTGGAACCAAGCACTGATACACGCTACATAATGGTTTGACTCGGAAACTTTACGGTAGTGAAAAAAGCCAATCACAAAAATCTCATGTTGTATGATTCCATTCCTATGAAGATTCCAGAATAGGCAAATTTATAAAGGCACAAAGCAGATTTGTGGTTGTCAGGGGCTGGTGGGAGGGGGACAGGGAGGGACTGCTTCATGGGTGTGGGGTTTCTATTCCAGGAGACCACTGTGGAGCTAGATAGTGGACACGGTCACACAACACTGTGAAAGTCTGTAGTGCCACAGACGATTATAATGGTAAGATTCATGTTATGTTTATTATACACCCTGCCTCCCCAAGTACTCTTCCAGGAATCAGGAGGGTGAGTTCCCAAGCCAATACTAACTCAGCCTCCACCTCCAGCATCCCACGTGCCTTCTTACTCACTGCACTTCAGCAATACCCTCCTTTCACCCTCCTCCTGCTTTACCCTCTCACCTTTGCTTCCCTAATCACTCCCGGTCTTGAACTATGTGTAAATGAAATCTCGGTAAAGGTGATTTAAAAATTATTATAAGGCTGGGCGTGGTGGCTTATACCTATAATCCTAGAACTCTTGGAGGCTGAGGTGGGTGCACTGTTTGGATTCAGGAGTTCAAGATCAGCCTGAGTAAGAGCTAGATCTCATCTCTACTAATAATAAAAAAAACAGCTGGATGTTGTGGTGGGCACCTGTAGTCCCAGCAACTTAGGAGGGTGAGGCAAGGGGATCTCCTGAGTCCAAAAGTTTGCAGTTGCTGTGAGCTATGACGTCACAGCACTTTACGCACTACACCTGTGAGACTCTGTCTCAGAAAAATAAAAAACAAATAAAAATTATTATGAGTGCAGGCAAATAATTTCCTACCTTGGCAATGTAGTCCATTGGTAAAACATTTTTGGTTAAGTATCATGTATATATATGATTTTCCTTATAAACAACATGATTGTACTTTTTACATTATTAGCTAGTTAATATTCCAAGGTACAATAAATACAATTGGAAAACTACATCACAGATCTTTCACTGGTTCAGTGTTAAACCTCAATTGTGTTAAAATTACAGAAACGTACTTCCCTTTCATGAACCATATCCAAAATATCATATACTGAGATGCTTGTCTACTAAAACTACACAAAATATAAAGAGTAAATGTTGGCATCACCAGAGGAGGGGAAAAAAAAAAAAACACCCACAAGCCAAAAACAAGAAATAAAATTAACCGGCATCCAGCACGTACTTGGCAAGCTGTTTCTCAGCATCAGCACAAAGTTCGAGAAGCCCCATCAGAACGGCAGACACGTCCATGTACGGCTCCCAAACGGTGAAACCTCGCCCGATCAGGTCGATGGCTGTCCTTCTGATTGTGCTGTGTGCGGGAAGCTTGGGGCTTGGCGGCTGCAGCAGAAGAAACGTCAGTGCCTTGCCTAAAATCACAAAATAAAACACAGGGCAATTAAGTAATCTTACCTCTGTGATGTTTTCACTGAGGCAGACTTTCAGAACATAGACTGTTTTGGCTTTCCTTGTAACTGAATAAGGTTTTGAACCTCAACTATAAAAGATCTAGAGTTTATAGTTTGCTCAGCCATAGTCTTTTAAAAGTTAGACTATAACATTTTATACCATCCGGGAGTGTCCAATCTTTTTTCTTCTCTGCGGCACCTGGGAAGAAGAGTTGTCTTGGGCCACACGTTAAATACACAAACACTAATGAAAACTGATGAGCAAAAAAACGGTCTGTGCATTTTGCATAATATCCGTGCCACAGATAAGCAAAACGGTCCTCACGTAACAGGCTGGACATCCCTGCTGGAATTAAGCAATGATATAATAATTAGATATAAATAACTATATACCATTTAAAACATTATCCGTGATCCTAAATCCCAAACAATGTTTCTCTCTACTCAGCATTTTGCAAAATGGAGACGGTTTCAAAAAATGATCACTGTACTTCTCAACCTTTCCTCTGCATCTGGCGCAGTTTATATGTAAAATACTGCCCAACACTAACACCTCTCATTGCAGCTAATGTTGGCATGAAGGATGCAGAAGGTGCAATAAGTAGCTTGAAAAAGTCTCTGTTCCTAAGAATCCGTTGTCCTCCCTATTCTGGTGTGTGCACTGACACAGCACAAGGATGTCAAGGGTGTGGTAGGTTCTCCATACAAGCTGGTTAAACAAATTAAATAATAGCTCACTGTTATTTCTCAATCTGATGAAATGGTCTAGATTTTGATTACCATGTATTCCTTTATTTTAAAGACGCTGTTGATCGTTTGCATACTGAAGCCTAATAGCATCGGGTCATAAAACCCCTTCTATTTCAAAAGGTCTTTTGACATTTAAAAAAGGAAAACACTAGTGATTATGGAGAGCACATGGTAAGAGAAGAGATGGGGGGGCTTTTCTGTTTGTTTTTTGGGGAGGACAAAAAACATGTCTTGTAGTTTATAAATCATGCTCCAGACTTAGGGAATTAACCACAGTTTTGAAACGTACTAGGAGGCAGGCTGAGGAAGGTGCTCACTGAGCCTCAGTCTCCTTGTCTGTAAAGTGGCGATATGACAACGGCACAGGGCTCTCTCACGATGAACTTGTGCCTGCCAAGTGCACTGCCAAGTGCCCAGAGTGAGTAGGGCTCAGCACACGACAGGCAGCGCTCCTTAGGAAGACCTTGTTAAACCCACCTGTTTCCCAGATTAAGAGCATGCCATATAAATTTTAACCTAATACGTCCAACCAATACAAACATGTCATCATTCTAATGTCATAGCCAATTGTGAAATGAGAATGGATTGAAACGGAGATAAAGAGAAGGGAAGGGCCTTGTGAAACCAACAGGATCTGTGAAGGCATCTGTCAATCAGGGCTGCTGCATTTCTTCTCGGTCCTAGAACCCGGTAGGAATCTGTTGAAAGTCATCTGTCCTTTCCTTAGAAAACTATGTACCCACCAAATTCTGTGAAAAAAGCTTAAGGAGGCCACAGACCTTGGGTTAACAACTCCTGTGCTAAGCTGAAAAGGTACACATCCACAAAGTATCCCTGAGAAAACACCCTAAATTCAACCACAGATGTGTACTTGTGAATTTTGCTTTCATATTGAACCATGTCTATATAATGTGCAAACTTCATGTTTTGCTTCTGGATAGAAAAAATAATAAACTCATTTAAAAAAAAAAAGTAATCCATGGTTTTATATTTTTTGCCAGCACTTTTAAGTTCCTTATCCCATGATATTTTAAAATCTGAACATTTCTGTACATTTCCATTTTATTTTCCTCAGCAAGTCTGTCAGTTCCTTGAAGAACTGCGTTTTATATAACTTTGCATCTCTCAAACCACCAAGCACAGAGCCTTGCCCACATCGTCTACCTAAAAGGAAAAACAATCCGCCTTTACTGAACGTGCATTTCTAACTCATCTCTCTTCTCTAGTTTTTCAGGATGATATTTTAAAATGTCTAGAAAAAAATCTACCACTGTCCTTTTTATTTTTTACTTCCAGAAAGTTGTAAGAGCTACAGAGAAACTCCAACTGCTGTTCTCTGCAGACACCCTGAAACATCAGAGGCAATGTTTCCAGCCTCAGCGCTGAGGTTCCCTGGAGGTGCGTCTGTAACGCTGCAGAGGGGAAGGGAAGTTTCCTGAGCATTCCAATCACCATTTTCCTTAACCCCACGCCACCCTTTCTGTATTCATGACAGGTAGGAGCATTCGGAAGATACTAGGGAAGCTGCTGACTTCTAAGGGCCTCTGCAGTGGGAACTCTAGAGGTGGCTTCCTTGGCACTCTGATGATTTTTTCCTGAGAGCAAAAATAAACAATAAGTGGCTGACTTCTTGACAATTTCCATCACCGTTCTGACAAAGTGGGAAGGACAGCGCTGGGGATGTGATCACTCGCCCTCTGATGAAACGACAGAATCGGGAGAATCAGTGAGGGTTCTCCAGAAGACGCTGGGCCCTGCATTGGCCCCCCCAGAGCGCTGCTGCTCCTCTGCCAAGTGTGACCCCAGCCTCGCAGTGAGGCTGAGCAGCTCACCAGGAAATACAGGGTCCCCAGAGCACCGCCACCCCTTCTCGTAAATCATTTTCCATTTCACTCAATGATCTCATAAGTAAAATTCCCCTATGGGGTCTCTCCTTTAGTTCAAATAACAGTCTCCGGGAGCACAGAGCTCCCTCCAGTCTGGCCGGGCAGTTGGCCGGGCAGTTTTGACAGTCCTGGAGGGCGGTGTGTGGAGCATCAAAGAAGAGAGGAAAGTGGTCCACTTCACACACATTTTATATCTACTAGAAGAGTATGATTCCCCCCGCAACTAGTTGTTTTGGAATTATGAAGATATAGAAATGTTAAAATTCCACATTTGCCTCAGATAACTTATTCCAAACAAAATACATAAATAACACAAGTTAAAAAGAATTTGAGTTAAGTCTTTTATTTCTAGCCTTGTTGATTAATAGGAAGCTTATGACTTTACTGCTACCAGCAGTCACAACACCCATGTGCTGAAGGAATAATCTGGGGGGGGCCTAAGATTTCAAACTTTTTAACCCTCAGTTCTTCCTACTGATACTAAGAAATGAGCCTTTAAAAATGGTGTTATGACAACAGAAAGGAATAGTTAAATTTATTCTTTTCTTAACTTACGTTCTCTAATTTAAGGTTATTCTAATTTACGATTCCATATAAAATTGGTGCTCTGCAAAGCGGACCAGAGAGAATCCTCACTGACAGTCTCTTGACAGAATTTGATGAGTTTTAAATTTATCTTCTATAATTTTTCTTGTAATTTTGGTACCCAGTAAAAGTTATCTATTTTAATCTGTACATGATAGAATATGATTTTGTGCAAAAATACACATTTACTTATTTTCTGGAAAAGGTACCACTATTCCATAGTGCCTCAATGAGTAAATAAGGCAGAGGGTGATACTCTCATCTCCTATCACAATTAATCCCTTTATTAAAGCCTCTCCAGTGACACTGGCCTGACACTCACTCAAGGTTTTCCACATTTTGGTCCCAACTCATCTACCTAAAAATTCATAAAGTAACCGTTTATTGAGTACTGTCTTACTATACTAAGGCTGGAACAAAAAGGTAATAAAACTCACTTCCTCCAGCCGACAGGGAGGCAAACAGGTACTTTGACACGGCACTTTCATACCGCTATGAACTACGAATGACGTTACAATCTTTATAAACACAAGGTGTCAAGACAGAACTGGACACAGACACTTAACGCCATGGGGACAGGGTGGTTAAAGAAGGCTTCTAGGGGAAGGTGTCCCTATGCCAAAACCAAAAAAAATTGTCTTGTCTCTCACTTAGTTGCATCATGGCCACAAAGTGGTTAATTCCACACCCAGCACGGCACCCACTGTCCAGGCAGGGAGAGGGAAAGGGGAAGCCCAAAGGACAGGCCAGTTAAGTCATGCTCCCTTTTAAAGTCTGATTACTCTTCACTGGCCAGAATTATGTGTGAATTTATGTGTGCATTATGTATATGTATTTACACACGTTTCGAGGAAGGATAGGAAATCTGGGCTTACTGCCAGTTTCAACAAAGCTGAGGTTTTGTTTATATGATATGGGGCAGGTAGCTGGCAATTTTTGTTGCATCTTTCCTGCTTATGTTTGAATAAAATTTCTCCTTTTAATATAGTATTTATTGTGCATCCATTTAACAAACAATGACATACTGTCTTCTGACATTCATTCTATTGGCTAAAGTCAATTTTATTTTATTTTTGAGACAGAATCTCAAGCTGTCACCCTGGATAGAGTGCCAGTGGTATCACAGTTCACAGCAACCTCAAACTCTTGGGCTTAAGCAATTCTCCTGCCTCAGCCTCCCAAGTGGCTGGGACTACAGGCACCCTCCACAATGCCCAGTTATTTTTTGGGTTGCAGTTGTCATTGTTGTTTGGCAGGCCCAGGCTGGATTCGAGCCCGCCAACTCTGGTGTACATGGCTGCCACCCTAGCCACTGAGTTACAGGTGCTGAGCCAAGCCAATTTTATATATTTATTTACACACACCTTTTCAGACCTCCTAAGCAGGTCTGTTCCCCAGGCCACATGTAATTAAAAAGTAAAAAAATTAACATTTGGCATAAGACATAGCACAACGCTATTTAGTAAATATTTAACACAAAATTATTGCTTTTGCCAAATATGGGAAATTGCTTTACACTGTATGTGCCCAGCACAGCTAACAAAATTATGCATAGATCAGAAATTTCCAGGGGCCTGCTCTAAATTTGTGCTGGCCTATGGCAAAGTTTCCATGGTTCCCTGGTGAAATAGGAAAATTATAAACCATGTATTATGTCTTTCTCATAAAGCTAAATGTATTCAATTTAAAGGAGTGATTATTCTGAGGTTATGGTTATAAACATTTTTGGTGAGGTTATGT